AGCCATCTAAAAGTGGTCCCGCCCACAAGAAAATTGTAAAAAACTAGGGCTGTCAAATTATCGCGTTAATTCACGTTAATTACCGTTTTCATTAACGCGTTAAAAAATAATTAACTCATTAACTGCCATTGACGTGTTAACACGTCAATTGCGTTTCCCGCTATTTTCACGTTCCCAGATGTCTGTTGTATCAAATATGTAAGGCTTGAGGGAATATTTTATCGAGCCAGCAGATGGCAGCATTGCTCTATGAATGGTTTGAAAACAGCTAGATGCACAAGTGCTCTTTTTTCTCAGCTTTCTGGTGATTTTCAATAAAACTTACTTCTACTCGACTGGGGATTACAGGGGAACGAAACAAGCTAGAAACAAAATTATTTTTGCTGATGAAAGTAGACAGTCCATTCTTTCAGAATCTGGTTTTGGATATCAGATAGTCATTGTACACAATATTCTGTGGGTACCTGTTCTGAAATAGGCTGGCAGTCAATCGCATGTCCGAATGACCCGCCCATTTATAGCAATATCACTCAGAATGCCGCGGACACGTGCATGTGTGTGATGGTGACAGCGGTAACGTGGTCATATAATACACGCATATATATACGCACAGGGCCATTCTCTGATGTTGTGTGACACACGGAGGAGAGGAGGAGACACGCTGAAATGCAACCAAACTCGCAAAATTAAAGCTGGGGGGTACTTACATTTTTCCTTTCATTAACAGCTCTTGTTGGTTGTACCCAAAAGTAGAAGGTTGTGAGCAAGTCAAACAGATTTAAGTACATTTGGTCTGAATAACAATGTGTCAATTGGAGTGAATTTGAAATATAAAGTTAAAAATGCGATTAATCGTGAGTTAACTCATCATTACTATGCGATTAATCAACTAAAAAAAATTAATCGTTTGACAGCCCTAGAAAAAACGCATTTGCGCATGCGTCAGCCACCGCAGCTCCATTCATTTGACCGAGAGACTTCAAAAATTCACATCAAGTAAACTAGAGTGGTCCAAAAGAATTCACCCCCCTCAGCATTGACACACATGTGGAACGGAGCTTTGGGCCAAGAGCCAACTTTTGGTCCATCCTGTAAAGACGTTTTTGAGAGGTCTGCCAACGCTATATGTTAGCATTGGCTAATTCTACTTCTGGGTCCACCCCCATTGGCCCAGGGTGGTATTGCAAGCATGTCAGCGCACGTCATTTTGGCCACTTTTGAGCTGGGACCCGCCCCCACTGGTTCCGACGTGCGCTGACATGCTTGCAATACCACCCCGGGCCTAATGGGGGTGGACCCGGAATGAGAATTATTCAATCCTAACGTGGAGATACGCGTGACCTGTTTGTTAATATTTACAGTCTATGGTTTCAAGGGTTTCACATTTTGTCTTCTTTTGTTTTCTACAAATAAAGTATCACCCCTTCGTTAGAAAATCCTTTCAGATTTACTGCCGATTGCAAAGAGTTAAAGATCGAAGCTTGAGTAATATAACTTTTGGCCGAATTTCAAAAATGGATATATCTGTTTTTGCAAATGAACATGTGCACACATTGACCTGTTATCTGGGAACAAATATAAAAGTTTCATATGTCATTTAAACTGCAGATCAATTTCTTTTACAATTTCTTTTACACTATCTACCACACAGGAAAGTCTTATCGCCTTGAATTTGCAAAAGTAAAGTCAAATGGAGTTCAAACATAGTCGTATCTGTGAACGCATTTTTACATAACACATACTTTTTAAAGAGGTGACTTCAAGGAGCTTCCAAAAAGACAAATTCAATCTTCAAACTTCAATCTTTCCGCTCCTCGTACAGCTCGAGTCGCCCCGAACTCCTCCAAAAACAAAATTTGTCACAATGTCCTGCAATGTCACATGTATTTCTCTGCACATTATATATGATTGAGTAACAACAACAAAAACCACATTGAAGTCACTGTGAGAGCCTAAATTCTTTGTGGAGGGAGCTGGGCACATCATATCTGTTAAGAATAATCCGTTTGGAGCCGTATCGGGAAAGCACACTGTTACACAATGTTCATTCAGCTCCACCTTAACTACATATTGATCTTATCTGTGCAATTTCGTTGGGCCTGTCCTCCCCGCAGCTCCGGTCTCCAGAGAGCAGGCATCAGCACACACACATGGATGCGTACAGTGGAGTAAGAGGGGGTCACAGCCCAGTACATGACTAATGGACTGGAGACGTAGATAAACGGCTTTTTAAGTACCACAAAATCGCCCCGTGTTTCGTTCCCCAGGCAATATGTTTTTTTTTTCATTTTCCTCTTTATGAATCACTAAAGAGAATAAAGAGATGGACTATGGCGGAGTGATTAGGAGCGAATGCATGAAGGCAACCATGATTTTTTTTCAGCACTACAATACTGTTTGATTGGTTTTAGTAACGGTGACTATTCTTGTAAAACATATTTACTTTCAGAATATTTCTTTTTTACATTATGTTTATGATTTTTTTTATATTCACATTGTATAATAGGCAAGGCAAGTGTATTTTTATAGCACAGTTCATACACAAGGCAACTCAAAATGCTTAACCAAAAAAGATGGACACAATCACAAGGCTTATAATCGTAAAATAATCACAGCACAGCTAACCAGAACTGTTTACTGGATTTGAACATCGTCAGAGAAGAAGCCTGTCTCACATTTTCAGGAAGACTGTTCCAGATTTTAGTTGCATAACTCTGAGATAGAAACAGTAGTAATTAATAGCTACTTAATGAAACTTAAGTTCTACGAATAGGTGCGTAGTCCCTTAGGACTTCGCTAGTGGGATATCACTCGTGACCCCCAGGTCACGCGCCAGAGAGATCAAAATAATTTGCTCCAATCACCAGCCACCTTCCTCTATAAATGCCCCTGCACAAGGCCGTACCCCCTCTTGAACTCTGCCAAGCCGGGCTGGCCTGATGGGCTCGTAGCTAAGGGATTACGCACCTATTCGTAGAACTTAAGTTACATTAAGCAACTATTAATTCTACGTCATGGTGCTACGTCCCTTAGGACTTCGCTAGTGGGACACAACGCGGAGGCCGTAGGAAAATGTACTCCCAGCAGGCCAGCGAAGGTGATTGGAGCTCCGCCCGTGCAAGACCCTCACAACGTGATAGGACTCAGGGCAGAAGAAACAAGCGTGTTACGGGGCCACTCCTACCAAGGATACCCCCACGTAACACAAGCCGTAGGTCATCCGTAGTCACAGGACGCCTCTCCCAAGAGCTCCTGACGTGGACTACCAGACCGACCACACACACAAAATGAACCGCACCTGTAGGATGCCTCTCCCAAGAGCTCCTGCACCAGGGCGGAAAATTGACCGAAGGCCCCCCTCAGGGGAGGGACCCAACGGTCTAACTCAGTCCGCTGCACTCAGCACGGAATGGGCCACCGACCGGTCCGACACATCCGAAAGATAAGACCGGACGAAAGAGGAGGACGACGCCCAAGAAGCCGCACGGCAAACGTCCTCGACCGACGCCCCCCTGAGAAGGGCCGTAGAGGCCGCCATCCCACGCGTGGAATGCGACCTGAAACCCACCGGGGGGGCCAGACCCTGCGTCTGATACGCCCGCCGCACCGCCGTGGCGACCCAATGCGCCAGCCGCTGAGCCGACAGCGGGGCGCCCCTGTTCTTGGGGCCCAGACACACAAACAGCTGATCACCCGACCTGAATGACGACGTCATGGCCAGGTAATGCCTCAGCATTCTGATAGGACACAGAAGGTGCTGCCGCTCCTCCTCGGGGGAGGTATGCAGCGGCGGGTGGAAAGCCCTAATCCTGATGACCCTCGACCTAAAGGCCGACGTGATGACCTTGGGGAGAAAAGCCGGATTGGGCCACAATTCCACCATGCCGTCGTCCTCTCCAAAGGACAGGCACGACGCATGGACGGAGAGCGCACACAAATCGCCCGCCCTCTTCGCAGACGCCAACGCCAGTAAGAGGGCCGTCTTAAAGGCGATACACTCGGGACTCGCCTCCGCCGCCGGTTCAAAAGGCGGACCCAACAGCCCCCTAAGGACCACCCTGAGGTCCCAAACCGGAGGCGTTCTCTGGAGCGGGGGCCTCCTCCTGCGCGCCCCCCGCAGAAAACGTTTAACCAACGGGTGAGAACGGGCTGTGAATCCCCCGAATCCGTCGTGACCCGAAGTAATGGCTGCCGCGAACACCGCCAAGGTAGCGACAGCCCTCCCCTTGTCGAAGAACTCCTGTAGGAATCCCAGGACCCCCTTCAGCGGGCAACACCTGGGATCCCAGGAACGGGAATCGCACCAGACACTGAATAGCCTCCACCTCGTGGCGTAGGCCCTCACGGTGGACGGCGCCCTCGCTCCCTGAATGGTCTCCACCACCGCAGGGGGAAGACCCAGATCTACGAGGCTCCGCCTCTCAACCTCCAAACCCAGAGCCTGCGGCCAATTATCGGACGTGAAAACAGGGCTCCTGCCCCCTGGACTAGAGCCCCCGGCTCGTCCGGGAGGGCCCAGGGCTCCATCACCGCCATGCCCCTCAGGAAGGGGAACCACCGGGCATGCGGACTGTCCGGAGCCACCAGGATCACCGATCTCCTCTCCTGTTCGATCCTCCGCAGCAGGACCGGCAGGAGACGCACCGGTGGAAAAGCGTACAACAGGCCGCCTGGCCATGGGTAATGAGCCAGAGCGTCCACGCCTAAAGGCGGCTCGTCCGCGGCCCTTAAGGCGAACCAGGACGGGCACTGTGCGTTCTCTGCACTGGCGAAAAGGTCGACCACTGGACGGCCGAACCTCCGCCAGATCTCCGCAGCTACCCGTGGGGCCAGGCCCCACTCGTCCTGGAGTGGGCCCCCCCTGGACATCCTGTCGGCTCCCACGTTCCGGACCCCCGGGACGTGGCGCGCCCTGAGAGACAGGAGGTGAAGCGCCGCCCACAGCAGCGTCACCGTCGCCATGCGATGGAGAGCGGGGGACCTGGTGCCCCCCTGCCTGTTCAGATAGGAGACCACTGTGGTGTTGTCTGAGCGCACCATCACGTGTCTCCCCTGCAGCTGAGGAGCAAAGTGCAGCAGTACCCTGTGCACTGCCTCCATCTCCAGCAGGTTGATGTGACGGGCTGAGTCCGACCAGCAGCCTCCTACAGAGCTCTGGCCGAGGACCCCGCCCCATCCTTCGAGCGACGCGTCCGTGAACACCTCGACGTGAGACACGGCGCAGGCCAGAGTCACTCCGTCCCGCAATAGACCCGGAGTGAGCCAGAACCTGATGTCCGATGCTGCCCCTTGGGGAGCCCAGATCAGCCTCCCCCCGTCCCGGGAGGGGTGAAGCCTGAGGCGCGAGAACCACCTCTGAAAATTTCTCATGTGGAGCAGGCCTAGCCGCACCACAGCATGAGCCGCTGCCATCATTCCCAGCAGGGACCTGAGGCGCCGAGCGGGGACTCTGGGGCCCGCCAGAACCTCCCGGGCCAGACGGGTAATATTCATCCGTCTGTCCACGGACAATGCAGCACGGAATATCACAGAGTCTAGCTGCAGACCGAGATAAACCATGCGTTGGGCTGGCTGCAGCTTGCTCTTCTCCCTGTTCACCACAAAGCCCAGACGCTGTATGTGGGACAGGACCCAGTGCGTGTGGCTCAGGGCCACTTCCCTGGATGGGCCCAGTATTAACCAATCGTCTATATAGGTTAATATTCTTACCCCCGCACGTCTGATCGGCTCCAGAGCTGCTTCCACACATTTGGAAAAAGTCCGAGGCGCGAGTGCGTACCCGAAGGGTAGACGGCAGTACTCGTAATTCCTCTCTCCCACTGCGAAGCGCAGAAACCTCCTGTGTTCTGGCACTATGGGCACGTGGAAGTACGCATCTGTCAGGTCTATGGATGTCATCCAGTCTCCTTCCCTGACACACTCGAGGAGCTGCTTTGTGGACAGCATCCGAAACTGCCGTTTGGAAATGCACTCGTTTAACACGCGCAGATCCAGAATGGGACGCACCCCGCCTGATTTCTTTGGCACTAAGAAGTAGGGGGAGTACAGCCCCCTGGTGGCGTCCTGCGGGTCTACCTCCACTGCTGCGCCTCGACTCAGCAGAGAGGAGACCTCCGCTTGTAGTGCCTCTGTCGATCCCCGTACCTGAGAGCGTACTGCCCGTACGCCTCGGAATGGTGGTGGCTTTCGGAAAAATTGCAGCGCGTAACCTCTGCGCAGTTTTCTCCAGCCAAATATCTGTCAGTAGGCCCTGCTCTCTCCAGATGCTGTAGAAATCTGTGAGGGGCGGAACGGGAGTTGGAACACGAGACGTCACGGCCCCGCCCTCTCCTGGTGTTCCTAGCAGGGAGGGGGGGGTGGCTGAAAGGGCCGGGGGGGCCCCTGCGTCACACCGTGAGCGCCGAGGGCGGTCACGTGTTCTGCAGGCCCGACGTCATAAGTACGGGACTGCTCACCACACGTGACCCGGCTGCTGTGCCCCCCCCTGGCTCTTGCCTCATGGAGGGGGGGGCGAGCCCCTGGAGTGGGAAACCCCGTGTTAGCCTTGTAGCTCTGCTCACCACACGTGACACGGCTGCTGTGCCCCCCCTTGGCTCTTGCCTCATGGAGGGGGGGACGAGCCCCTGGAGTGGGAAACCCCGTGTTAGCCTTGTAGCTCAGAGATGCTAACACGCGTTCGGCTGGAGCACACACATTATCACTTACCAGATCCCTCCGCCTGCCCTCTCTCCGGGAGGGCAAAACATGAACCCGTGAATCGGAGCCCGTGGCCCGCATAGCACGCTGCACGCCCTTCTCTGGGGGCTGCAGGCCTAGCGGAGCCACGTTATATGCTCGAGAAGTAACACAATCAGAATTCAAATCATTTGACATGTTACATACCCCCAAATGAGACTCAGACAGCGAGTACTGATGAAATGCCGCACGGCTTTTATTGAAAGAATTCTTCCCACCCCGACCTCCTCTGCCATAGGGAGGTCGTCGGTGGGTGCGTTGGTCCCGCGAGCCTCCCGTGTGCCTGTCTGGGCCCGGGGGCCTCGTCGCTGGGGAACGATGAACCACGGAGCGTGGATATGGTCCGGGGCGCCTGCCGGGCGAGCGCTCCCTGCCTCTGTCTCGGCTCCGCACTGGTGGGCGGGCCTCGCGTCTCGCAGCTAGATGCTGGGCCAGGCTAGCAGAGTCCTTAGCTGCGGTGTCCAGCCTCGTTATCAGCGTCTGCATCTCCGGACCGAAGAGTGACGTTTGGGAGATGGGCAGGTCCAGCAGCTGCCTGTTCTCCGCCTCTCTGAGGTTCCCAGCCAGAGGTGTCTGGCCCCCACTTGTGCTGCTGCCATCGTGCGGCCGCCATCGACAGCTAGCGCCTGGCACATGCGCAAGATCGCTGCTGAAGTGGTCCTCGCCTGGGATAAGGTGTCTCCACTGAGCGCCTGGCCAGAAGAGAGAGACCTATCCAGGGCCCCGGTGATGAAGGCCATGTTGTTAGCCACCGCGACGACCTGAGCCGCATTGGCGTAACATCTATCGTGCATCGCCAAAGACATCCTATCCCGCTCGGAGGGAAGGAGAGGAATACATGCCGTACCCCAAAGCGGGCCTCTTGGCCGCTAGGGGCTTTGGCCACTCACGTGTCGCGTAATGGACGATCGGATCCATACGCGGGCACAACGTGGGCTGCGCTCTCCTCCTCCCTCGAGTGGTGGCGTAACCAGAGGTGAAGTCCTCCACCCTCTGGTTCGGTTGCGGTGGCAGGGGGGCATCCATGATGGCCGCCGCCGTGGAGTAGAGCCCAGGCATGTGGTCCAGCGGGAAGCGGTCCGGCTCCGGGTTGGACACCACCTCGTCCAGCGTGAAGAGAGAGCCGACCTCCGACACCTCTCCGTCCTCGCAGTCACCCCACTCCGCGGGCACGGGTGGGAGGTCGAGGGGGGCCCAGTCAGTCACAGACCCCTCGTCCTGAGAGGGGTCCGGACGGGGCGCTGTAGCGGCGAAGAACGCGCGCCTGCGTTCACTCTCCTCCCTGGGGAGAGCGAGACACGAGGCGCAGGTGGCGCTCAACGCCGCATGGCCCAAACCCAGGCACACGAAGCAGCTGGAGTGCTGGTCCTTGCGCTGGAGCTTGACCCGACAAGTCGAGCAACAACGACGTCCAACGCCGGATGGCGAAGGGGAACTCGGACGAGCATCAGAAGACATCTTTCCTCAGGTAAATTGAAATGTAGATCTCAATCGGCGCCAGAGTGAAAGAGGGGGTACGGCCTTGTGCAGGGGCATTTATAGAGGAAGGTGGCTGGTGATTGGAGCAAATTATTTTGATCTCTCTGGCGCGTGACCTGGGGGTCACGAGTGATATCCCACTAGCGAAGTCCTAAGGGACGTAGCACCATGACGTAGAATCAATCTGATAATAATGGAAAATGTGTGTTCAAATGTGGCGACGCATTCGATAACGGTCTAAAAATCTTTTTAAATGCCTTGTGAAATCTAGTATTTTGACCTTTATTTAACCAGGAAAATGAGATTTCCGATTTTGTTTTTCTCTTTTCAGAATCCCGTCCCGGAAGAAACTTATACAGAGACGCGGAGAACATGCAAACTCCACTCGGTAAGGCCCTGTCTAGAGGTGGAATCTATCTCAGGACCTTTGTGCTGAGAAGGGAGATCTTTGGCCAACCACTCAGCCGCCATGCCACCTGTGATTGAGAGCCCCAAAGTAGGATGGTTTTTATTACATACTGTAGTTCTGTTTAAATGGTTTAAGGGTTACAACTACGACCAACTACACCGTTATAACACTTGTGTTCGGGTAAATAAGAGTTAGGAGTGTTTAGCACTTGTTTTTAACTGCTGTTTGCACTTTAACACAAGAGAAACGCATCCTCGTCTGAGCACACTTTTCAATTAGTTTGTACAACATAGAACGTCTTTTAGCTTTTTGAATGAGACTAGAATCAGATAAAAAATGTTTTTGTTCCCTATTTTATATTCAGGGACAAGTGTACACAATGAAACACTAACATTTATAGCCAAGGACAATTTGTAATGTGCGTCCCTAGGGCTTTTAACACAATTAAAAACATATTCACATTATACAAAGGCAGGTGTCCCCAACTCATCAGCGCTCACATGCCCGGTTTGTTTTTAAAATCGCTTCAGTTTAAAACCAGCCCAGTCAGAGTATCAGTTTAAACTGAGGGATTAAAGAGTTCCAGAGCTTTGCCCCCTGGACCGAGAAGACTGTCCGAGTGTGGGTCTCCTGCGGAGCTCTTTCACATTCCTGTTAGAAGAGCCTCGTGCGATGAACCTCAGAGGACTATGAGAGCACTAAGGACAGCAGGGGCTCGACTCTGCACAACATTTATACAGTTATGTATTATTAGAAAGTTTTATACAATTATCAAAACTAATAAAACAACTCCTGGCAAAGGTGTGTTCTTATTGTCTTTGTGTCCAATATTTGTGTGGCTCTGTTGTGGAGCGTTCTTACTGGTTTGAGGGTCGATGCTGTGGCCTGGGACCAGCAGGTGATACAGTAACTGATCTGAGTAAAAAACATGGCGTGTAGAAAGATATTGGCTGCGTTGAAAGGTAAAGAATCTCTTAATCTGAAGCGATACAGATTTGATTTATTAGCTTTTACAATCTTGTTAATGTGACTGTCAAATTGCAGGCGAGAGTCCAGAATATGGCCTAAATATTTGATTTACTGTATCTCACTTGCTCAATTCATTGCTTGCCAATTGTTAGGTGTAGGCTTGAGTCGGTTGGTCCCACATGAGCAGAAGAAAGACCAGACCCGCCCCAGCACCAGCCCAGCCCAGACCAGCCTACCAGGTCATGGATGAAAATGTTGATATTTTGCCAACTCAACAATATTTATGCTGAACCTGTTTCCTGCACAATATGCACTTTCCTAATTCAAACAGACACATGCTCATGGCAGATTCAGTTTCTTCCCTCACCGTACCAGACACTCACAAACCTATCATTTGAAAAACCTTTGCAAAAAATACATTATTCAGACACGCATCCCCCTGTTCTGTCTGTATATGTTATTTTTATATAGAGTACATACAGTATGCAATCATCAAGAGAATCACTGGTTTGAAGTTTTGTGCCAACTTTCCTCAACAAAACTATTTGAAGTATTTAGATCCAACCAAATCTTTTCATCATTTCCACATCACAACACGACACTATTCTTTCTCTCTCTCTCCCCTCATTGTCTTCCTACTGTACAAGACTTTTTCATCCCTGGTTTCCAAAGCAACAAGTCACAGAGGTTTTGAGAGTCCTCTTTCTCATCTTCTGTGTTGATTTTTTTTTTCCTCCCCTTAATGCGCATGAAGGAGGAGAAGAAAAAAGATCAGGCAATGCACAATAGGAGAATTATGCAAATTAATCCACCAAGTGACAATGGATTAGAACACGCTCTTTAGTAGCCGACAGAAGGGCTTCGTAATGAGCTCTCCGTGTCTCCAAAAATGATTCTTGTCTCAGAATTCCAATTCATGATCACTGCACATTCTTGAGGCACCTTTTGTTGCCGCTCACTAGAAAAATGTACTTCCTGCCTTGACAATGTAAAATAGCTTGAGTGAAAAAAAAACAGAGAACACAATATAAAGAGTGGATTCTTGCTTCTACAGTTTGTTGCTGTCATGATACTGGGAAATTCAAACTGATACGGTGAGAAAAAAAAGATGCATTATGAGACAAATATCTTAAGCCCCCTAAAAAAAATGTTATGTATGTTATAATTGTTTCAGCCTTGACTTACTGACTAGTATTTCCCAAACAGTAGTCATTTGACAGACTTGGTGAAACAGGCCATAACATTCCAAATACTCTGTCTGAGATGAAACAAATGTATTTATTAAATCAAAAAATGAAATCTAAGTCCCCTTCCTCACCTCTGTTCATGAGTTTGGAGCAGGCATGTCCAAACTCAGAACTGCGGACCTGTGCCATTTTATGTGGCCCTTCTGCTGCTAACACAAAGTCGCCATTGGGGCACTTTGACAGTGTCATCCAACCAACTTCAGCTCCACCAATACAATCACGCTTTACCTTGCTATGAATCTCAGACCCTCTAAGAATCCAGTTGTTGACTTTTTATTGTCACAACATTCCAAATATAATGTGTGAATCCATAAGCTCGTATCATAAACCATTTTAAATTCCAGAATCCAGTTCAAATCCAGTTTTTTTTTATCCAGGTTGTTGTCCCCAATTCAAGTCTGATGAACTAAAGTGGCCCTCTTGCTAAAAGGTTTGGACACCTGAAGGATGAGATGGTCCACATGAGTTTCCTCCGCAGAGTGACAGGGCGCTCCCTCAGAGATCGGGTAAGGAGCTCAGTTACATGGGAGGAGCTCAGAGTAGAGCCGCTGCTTCTCCACGTCGAGAGGAGCCAGTTTAGGTGGCTCAGACATCTGTTCAGGATGCTTCCTGGACGCCTCCCTGGCATGTCCCACTGAGAGGAGGCCCCTGGGAAGCTTACCGTGGAATAAGAGGAACAAGAGACGCTGGATGTGTCTCATCTGGCCTGGGAATGAGGAAGTGTGTGGGTGGATAGGGCAGTTTTAGGCGTCTCTGCTGCCTCTGTGACCTGGTAGTAGATAAAGCAGAAGAAAAATGATGGATGTATGGATGGCAAAATATTTAGAACCAGTATTTTAGATCAAAGAACCATCTGTCCAAAAACAACCAACAACATGTGTAGTGAATCAAACTGTTCGAACACAGAAAAATGCAATAATAACATGCAGCGGGTATGTCCACTACATAAATGTCGTTAAATGTCCTTCTTAAACTTACTATGTGAAACTGATATATGATAAAGATCCAGAGTGACATACTGTATGCCTAAGCCTGTTTTTGTTATATTGTTTGTGATTTTGTCTTACAGTCTACTTTCAAAGTATGCACATTTTTATTTTATTTTATTTTTATCTTTATTTTTACACGTTCTGAGCCAATTGTCAAACATTATTATGTATTCATCAAAACTGAAATTTCCCTACTGTGGGACGGACAAAGGACCTTCTTCTTCGTCTTCTTATCAAACAAGGGATTGATATATCTCAATTTGCATGTAACAAGTCATATATTAGTTTCACATTGTAAGTTGAATTACAGAATGAAATACATTTTTGAACGATATTCTATTCGTCCAAGTTTCAAAGTTACAAAGATTCTCCTGAAATTATAAAGAGATTGATTTTAAAGAGTGTAGAAGCAACGTCTCATTGAAATGGACGAATTCAGTTTTGAAACTCGTGGCCCCAAAATTGAATATAGCTGAACATATATGCTCCTATGTGTTTACAAAGGATCGGATTGGTTGTCAAATGTAATTATAATGAGCGAGAGGCGAGGGACTGTAAACCCCATGCACTTCTTTTGAGGAGTGAAAAATCAGTCCGATTGGAAAAACTGGATCGAACCAATTCTCCTGCAATGGATCTGCTACGTAACCACAGCAAGCTGATCCTATTGAGACAACAGGCAGGGATGCATGTGAGAGCGCAGGGATATGTGGACCCAGATTCAGATTACTTTTTTATCCCACCAGGGGCAATTCATTTGAGCAGCACATAAAAAAAATACATAAAATAAATAAATATAAAGGACATAATGCAGGCAACTCACTCATTTTGTTTTGCGGTCAATACCTGGTCCTTCTCCACACGTGTCATTGTTTTGTTTTGTTACATAAATCAAAATCCAAACTTTGCAGGAGCCATGGTGCGTTAAAAAGCGTTGAGAATTTTTGTTTTGATTTATGCAGCAGCAGGTGAGCGTGAGTAAAAATCAAATGCTCAAAGTAAATTAAAAGATTTGTGGTTAAATTTGCAGACCGCTGGCTTATATTGTATGTATAAGAATTGTACTTGCCATCTATAGTTACAACGATTGTGAAGTATTGAAAAGTTACGAGGCGCCTTTAAAAGCATGGCAGGATTTAAAAATGACCAAATAATAATAAAAAAAAATATTTCTTTGGCACCGTTCTAGACACTCAAGGTTGCCTTATAAAAGAAGTAAAAAGTACACTTAAAAACAGCTAAAATAAAAAGTTTAAAACAGCATGAACAAAGGTTGGTGTAGTTATGAGTGAGTGAGGGTAAATTTGAAGTCATCAAATAATGAACAGAATATTATTTGAATGTATTATTTATTATGCTTTGTCCACTAATTATGAATATATGACGATAAAAAATGCTGTTGGTATAACGAATACCCAATATCCATCCCGTTCTCACCAATATACAGTATCACATAATTTTTCCTAGGACCACTTACTGTAAAAGAGTAGCTCTAGGTCTTTTTTGTCTTGGGAAAGTGGCTCTCTGGGTGAAAAAGGTTGGAGACGCCTGGGCTACAGCTGCTCCGCAAGGTTTAGCAAGACTTGACAAAAACTCATCCAAACGGTTTTGAAATCACGCGTGTAAAGAGTGCGGCTTTTTGTGTGTGTTCTGTTTGTTGTTGTCAGTGACCGGGTGAACTGTGTATCTCCACAAGTTGAATGTATTTGTGTTAAAAGTATGAAGCTATGTACCTATGAGAAGTCACTCATGTATTATCAATATGGCTGTAATGTGGGAGGATATGTAAGGTTTGCTCGTCTGTCCTGAGGCAGTTGTGGCTCGGTTATGCAGAAATGAATGTTGACAGCAGCAGCGAGAGTGAGACAGGGAAAAGAGACTTGTTTTATTGTGAATATCCTTTTTGACTGAATACATTTTTGTACCTTGAACTGATTTTCAAGGGAAAATCAGTTCACGGCACGGGGGCTGAGTGGACAGCACTAGTCTCGCCTCTCAGCAAGAAGGTCCTGGGTTTGAATTCTGGTCGGAACAGGGCCTTTCTGAGTGGAGTTTGCATGTTCTCCCCGTGTCTGCGTAGGTTTCCTCCGGGTGCTCCGGTTTCCCTTACCACAATACAAACATGCACAATAGGTATGAATGTATATGAGTGAGTGAATGGAAGGTGTTGATTAGAAGCTGATGCACCAGTGTGTTCGGCGACTTTCTTCCGTCATCACCGTGTGTGGAATGATTGGAACAATATCTGAACTCTTAACATTGTAAAGCGCTTTGGGTGACCTTGGTCTGTAAAATGCGCTATTTAAATAAATGAACATTACATTACATTGAATTGCCCTGTGTATGAACCATAGACTGTCTCAACTGTGCCAACCAATAAACTTGCCTTTGTCTGGACTTTTTCGCATTTTATTTGTACTAGCTGTCAGAGTCCCTAGTAGCATCCCTGGAGAAAACTAATATTCAATCTAAAACCTGCATTATTTACACCTCCCCCTCTATCCTGTGAAGCAAACGGCAAAATCCTGGGCTCAGACGGGACGGATCATGTTTTGATTTTATACATGTGATATAGAAGTCAGTCAGTAATGCGCCTGAATGTGTTGGTGCCCTGAGCTCACTGTCAGGTGTGAGAATGCTGCCAGCTCCTCCAGGTGGAGAGATGCGCATGAAATATCAAAACAAACAAGATTAGCTCACCGTCCTTGTATGATAAAGCAATTCCCGTGTGCATGTAGGGCACGTGAAAAACAGGCCAGGCTTGAAACACATGGGGAAACCGCGGCGCCATAGTTGTACTCAGTGGCGGCTGGTGGAATTTTCTACTGGGGGGGCTATGAATATGATGACTAGCCTGTAGCTTTCATCCAGCTGGGATGAAATATTTATCTGCCCAAACATAGCTAATTTGAGGGCATTTTGCATGTGGATACCAGTCTGCTCATGCTTCTTTGCCTTTTCTAAAAAGTGCTTCAGATCAGTCATACCTGTCTTGATCCATGCTGGGTCAGATCCTGATGTTTGAAACAAGAGGCATGGAAAGCAAAATAAAGCATTAGCCTCGCTACATGCTGCTAGCCAAGATTTGGCGCTGAACCAGGTCCTGGAAAAAGTACGAGTGTACCGTCTCCCCCTGTCGCTGGACTGCTGACTAATGGTAATATTTGGCTGATCAGGTCCAAGCTCTTTAACCTCAACCTTCTCCTGGTATGATCTTCTCTCAAACGGTATTGTTTTGAGTGATCTAACTGAATTATTCTTTTTCTCGTTCTCCATTTTGCGTCTCTTTACGTTCGTCTCAAACTCCCACAGCTTGACCTGTCAATCACTGTAAACATATGTGCTGGTGCAGCTAACTGTGTTGTAACAGAGGTCATTATGGACAATCCTACACATCTTTCTCTTTCTTGTTTCGCCTCTAACATTTGACTACGTGCTGCTGTGTTGCATGTGGAGCTGGCAGCCTAACGTTGTTTATGATTTCTACAAACAGACTTGTAGAAATCTAACACCCTACAATGGTGCTCAACTTTATTTACATTTCAGTGAGTAGTACTGGCCCCATAGACTGCATATAGATGGACAATGCTAACGCCCGCTAGCTCAATGAAGTTCAGTAGGGAAGTTCTCATGGACAAAGTTTTGGTCCAACTCGCACTGGCTCCTATTAACTTGAATTGAAACATAATTTCCTCCAGCTCAGCAATCATGTGTGACGCACTCAACATTTAGGGCTTTAAAAATCCACTATCTGACCCTGTGTTTATATTGTGATATTGTCTTTGTAATTCCAGATATGAGTCTTGCACTACCCAGTGTGCACTTGACTCTACCCTCACACTTGAATATACTTGAATCTTGAAAAGCATACAAGTTTGATCATCAATTAATGCTACAGGATTGAAACATGTCTCCCTTTCCAGCTACCTTTTATTTCCGTTACATCTGAAAGATTATTGCACATGTTTTGGCCGCCTTTCCATCATGCGTATGGTTCATTCATCCACTGTAAGATAAGGCTCATTTGGGAATTGCTTATAGTGAGTTTTACCTTTGAGGTTTGATGCACTACATGCTGATCCTAAAACGTACCCGAAAGGTGCTTTGGAACAAAGGCCATTTACGTCAGCCATTCCCCCGTCGACCCACCACAGGAGGATTAGAAAGGGCCTGGGTTAGTGAAGATTAAGAGATCGTTTGGGTGTTTTAAAAGAAATGCAAATAAATGTTTAACTTTTTTGATAATCTCTGCTTCCTTTCCTAAAGCAGGCTCCTTGTTACCCTAACACATGTGGTATTGTTGATAAAACCACATTTTATATGAGCTACAGTATATCGTACTACAAAATCACAATTCAATACGCAGCTTCTGTATCTGTGACTGCGGCCTTAAAGTGCAGACAACAGGAGAAGAGATATATCTGCTTCTGAACCCTGGCTCAGGTCTGAAAGGGGCAGATTTCATAACAGCCAAATACAAACCGTGGAGGGGTCTGCAGATACAAGTCTGTGCCAGGCCTCGTCCCCATGTTTACTCCATGTTGGACCTGTAGACAGCTGTCAGCCCCTCCACCTCAGATGACTGATATTGACAATATAAACCAGGAGTCGTCAGGAGATTGGAGTGGGCAGGAGCCAGAAAAGGTCTCCAAGTGGAATTAGTTGTAATCTCTTTTAGCGGTGAGGATGAAGGCAGAACACACATTCAGCACATTGTCTGGATAATAATGCATACATCTTATGAGGCCATTATTCAGACTTTCTGTGTAATTTGGTCCATTATAAATACTCTCCATACTGCGTGTACAGCAGCTACCCCAGGGTACTCTGTTGGAAGCGAGACTGCCACTCTGTGCCATCGGCCTCTCCAACAACCACAAATCATTAATTACCTCCTCCAGGGGGTAGTGTTATCGCCAGGACATGTCTGTTAGTTTGCATCATAACTCAAAAAGTTGTGGGAAGGTTTCTACTAGCAAGGAAAGCTTGGACATAGTGATCATCCGGATCACCGTCTAGTGCTGTTCTAGTTACACACTATTTTTCAATCTACACACAACGCCCAATGATAAAGGGAAAAGAAGCAATGGTAAAAGCTTCTACAAGATGTGCCTTTTGCTAACAAGAGGCTTCCATCTGTTCACTCTAACCTGATGAAGTGCACCACAGATTCTAGTCCTTGGAAGATTCCTCGTATCCTTAAAGGTCCCATATAATGCTTTTTTACTTTTCTCTGGTTTAATCATCAATACAGTGCTATTTGGCCTTCATACACAAGACCAGAGTAGCTCTTTCATTGATTCCCTCAAGCTTTAGTTATAGCAATTTTTTCTCTTTCAGTCTCTTGAGGCAAAAAAATGACCTGATTCACTATGTTACGAAACCCCGCCTCTAGGAGATGATTGACAGGAGAGAAAAACCAAAACAGCACAGCCTTTGCATCATGTCAAATTGGAGAAAATGTGTTTTTGTGAATTTGACCCGGAGACGAAGAATGTGCTGGACATTGTGTAGAGAAGTTTATTCTCAGGTCTGAAATGATTATCTACCGGTGAACGCTTAATGGTTGAGTGTTTACAAAGTCAGCGTGAGGCTATGTCACTGCACAGGGAAAGAGCACGGATTCAAGTATTTCAAAAAGATGACATCAACTATAATTTCTAAGTTTTGAGTGCTGTATGGCGTATCATCCCAATTATGATTACACACGTCCTTAGGATGGACTGTGAAAAATAAGGAGACGCTGAGCTCTTTCAGGGAGATATTCTGGTTCTTGGTCTCTGACTAAGGCTCCGCTCCCCAATTGCTCAGTTTGCCCTGGATGCCAAGTCTCAAGTCCTGGTTCTTGCAACAGTCAAACCCCAGGGAAGATACCAGAGCAAGTATCTTACAACTTCCAGTGTGGAGTGAAAGCTCAATGCACTATGTAAATATTATTGGAATTGATTAACACAATGTTGAAGTTCAACTTTGTTTCAAAACGTTTGATCCTTGGGTCAGGCGATAGTGAAAAACCCTCTTGAGCTGGGGCTCTCAGTATGGACCTATGAGCTGTAGTCTGAGCTGCACTGCCTCTATATGCCTCTGCTGCAGCTTTACTGGTGTGCAGTGGGAGAGAGGATGAAGGCAGATTTCATGGAAGCGTGGAGAGGCATACAAAGAGGCTGAGCCAGCGAAGGAACGAAAAATGTATAATGATCCACGTTGTCACAGCCAGGACATTTTTGGACAGCTCCAGTTTACTAGCAGAGGAGACAGAGGAGGAGGGTAAGGCTTGTCATGCATCAGAAATGTAATAGTAAGCACACAAGCACTCGCGAATGGAACATATATGTATAAATAAATATATATATGCACCTCATGAACAAGAATGCACTAGGTGTTTTATGCTGCGGTGAAGGACATATCGTATGACAGGCTTTGTAAACAACACATGTGTAAAATTTCTCACATGTTTTGGCTGCTGGTAGAATCCATATCAAAGACGGCAAGAGACAGGATTAGATAGAAGATACGCATAAGCACTATTTACATTGAAATGGCTGCTTAAAGTAACGGCGACCGACTGACTGTGGAGAAGAAGTGGTGATTGGAACAGATGAAATGATCTGATGCGGTATCTGAATGCAAATTGGAAGCAAGTCGCAAGTGCAAAAATAATCACGCTGAGGAGGTGATAGAAGATACAGGGAAGGCATGCACGCCACTTTTCTCACTGCGAGGCCCTGGAGGGTACTTTGGCGGCAATCTCATCCAATCGAAGTTTTTTCTATTTTTTTCCCCACTTTCTCTTCCTAACATTTGCTGAAAGGTATCAAACAAAAAGCGATCCAGCCTGATTGTGGAGTAGTTCTCATCTCGGTATCTCTAAAAGCCGTCTCTGTGTATGGATGTATAGGGGTCACGGCGCTCTGAAACCTCCATTTATCCGTGCCATTTCCCCTTCTGGAACAATAAAAGCCAATCAGGAAGCTAGTATTGGCGTGTGGCAGGATCAGAACCCCTGCTTCGGAGGGTGAAGGTTCTGTCATGGTGGAGGCTTGTTTTACACAGAGAGATAGAGATAGACAGATTTGGCAGTTTGTTCTAGTGTAGCTTGCGGTGACTGTTGATGAGCGAGATGTAGAGCAGGTTAGAAATCATACCGGTGGAAAACACAATAACTTTTAACTATATGTTCAAACATTATTCTCATATTTAAAGAAGACATGACGTGTACAACAAATACAATTAAATATGAAATTAACTGATTCTGTCTGTTCATGATGATATGACAAAAAGAGGCTTATTAGCAGGGGTGCAACTTTTTCAGTGAGGTACTCAGATGAGTACCAGGACATGGTGTTTGGTACTCATTTGTCGCGCGGTTCTTAATCGAGATTTTATACTTTCTTCTTTTTAATGCTGAAATTCAAAGTCTACAGAATGATTGATATCTCGGCCTCTGTAGCAGATAGAAACATAATTTCAAAAGAATTTGAGAGCTGACACTTGTCAAAAAAATATATATATAATCCTTCAGTAGAATAATAAAAAAAATGTACAACTTCCACACAGGAAAGGTAATAAAACAACCAATAATAATGTGGGACTAACACATCTTTCTCAATACAATAAGTAAAAAAGAGTTTGGCAATTAAGTGGCACTAAATATGTGGATTTTTTTTTTTTTTTTAAATCCACTCTCTGCCCAAAAAGTCAAATAATGGCTCACAGGGCTCTTTCTTAAGTAAGTAAAATAAAATAAACAAGACTGTTTTGGTTTGTTCTGTTTGATTTGGTCACAACATTTTACTTCTGTGCACAAATATCATGCAATCTTATTCCATTGAACGAATTTAAGTCCAAAGTGAGAGCACTTGAGTCAACCTCTTGTAAATGTTTTTTATAATGAGTATGTAATGTGTATGTAATTCTTAAACTGTATATGTTGCTGCCTCTTGGCCAGGACTCCCTTGAAAAAGAGGTTTTTAATCTCAATGGGACTTTCCTGGTTAAATAAAGGTTAATAATAATAATAATTTTCAATGCAAGCGAAAATTTAGGTACCTGCGCATTAATTCAGTGAGACTTGGGGGAGACGTGGGAGAGGCATGGGGGAGAGACGGGGGAGACAGGCAAGACCTGCACGTGCAATGTGCACGTAACGCGCACGTGTGTATGGTTCCGTAGGCGCGTCTATGGTCCGCGCTCGGTACATGACCATGCGCGTTCGCTGAGCTGTCAGAGCGGCCACAGTTTCTCCCTGGGTCAGAACGGAGGATGTTATTGCACCACGCCCCACTATTTGTGAAGGACTGGTCCATGTGAAGTACGCAAAAGCGCTTTCTAACTCAAGTGATATTACGCATTTCTGATATTTGTCACGCATGCGTACCTGCGTACCACTTATGTGCACCCCTGCTTATTAGATCTGTAGGTGAAAGCCAGATCCCTTGCCTTGCCTTACTGTGATGAGAGGGAATGGGTGTGCTCTCCTGTGTTTGTCTGATGCTGTTTGACAGAGTCTTCATCTCTTCAGGCAGAGCAGCAACGTTCTGCTCCATCAGGCTGATCTTCTGCTGCACCTCAGTCCTCACAGCCTGGACCCGCTTCTGCTCTTCCTTCTACAGAAAGTCTCTCATTTTGTTAATTTCCTTCTGGATCAGCTTCTCTCACATCACTGGTTTTCTGCAGTCTGTCCTGTAGGGGCAGCAGACTCTTCTGCAGTAGTTATATTACTTACACCAGAATATAACTAACTTCATAGGTTAGGTCATGATTTTCAAAAAGTTGAATGAAAAAGGATGGACACTAATCACCACGAGTACCACTGCTCATGTTGTTTCTGTCTTTATTAATGAGCACAACATGATTACATGATATACAATCAATTACCCTGCAGTCCAGTAGTAAAAGGTTAGAGAAAAGAACTGTACTCTCCTTACATTGAATTTGACTTCTCACTCAATATTCTAGAAGGTTCCAGAGAGAATAGTTCATAGTCTCCACATACTGTACACTGTGAAGCACAACACAAAATGTTGGGACAAAACATTATGTATTACGGTATTGGGTATTTCTTCCTCTGCTGATCTTGCTGTGGCCTAGTATAAAAACAAAACACAAATTATGTTTTAAGGCTTTACATTTCTGTGTAATAAAAGCATTGTTACTGTAACACGTTACTCCCAACACTGTTTCTGCATACTATCTATTCCAAGCCCTCAATGTCTTTTGTATAATGCATAATTTGATTAAGTAATCCATCAAAATAATTGATAAAACCCCTCTCTCTGTATCCACCTGCCCTTTGAAATGTGTCGACATGTGGTGCATATGCTAATTATCAAAAATAAAGGATATATGTGTCAGAGATAGCAATTGTTTAGCAGTCAGCAGAAACTGATTACAAGGCCATTGGCATGACTCTCGCTTAAAAATATGAAAGTTTCTTGCAGCGGAAAAGCTGTTTCCAAGTTTGTTTGATATTTTTTTCTAAATATGTTTGTTTAATATTCAAATGACATCATGATACTCTCTTTTATGTTGAATCCCAGAAAAGTATACTGTTTTACTTATGATAACAAAACACTTGAACTGAACACACTCACAGTATTATTGGTTATATGAATTGTACCATGACCTTTGATGGCGATATTGTTATTTGGTTTTGTTGAATTGTGTTAATAAAAGGAAAGACTTTTTCAGCAATGTAGTAGAAGGTGTGAATGTGTGTGTTGGTGAATGCGTCTGAAAAAGAGACTCTTCTTCTGTCCATGTCCAGGTCCACCCTGATCCTCTGAAGCGGATTCTTCAGTGTAAGAACCGTGTCTATGTGAGGTGGAGCCAATGCAGAGTAGTGATCATCTTTAAACCAAATTGTCCAGTATTCACACGGTATGTCTCCTATACAAGGGGTTGATTTAGTTATGACACCAACTGCCCAGTTTCCTTTTTCTTGAACGTCCACCTCCCAACGGTGCTTCCCAGTTGTGAACTCCTCGTTCCCGAGCACTTTGACATACTTAATAAACCTCTCAGGGTTTTCTGGGACCCATGGAAGCTCTGTTTCTCTGTTTGCACAGTGCACACTGCACAGATCATCAGACACGAACAAGGATCTGAAAGCAGTGTTTGGATCCAGTACGACTGGAGTGTAGGACACCAGATCCTTCATCTGGTTCCAGATGTTAAACCCCAGGTTGCCCAGATGTTTGGCCACATCCACCAGACCCCCAGAGGGCATTAGTGGAATAACCTCTAAAGGGGCCTCCTGCACTCGTCTCACTGCACCACTGTATTTCTGGAGGAATGCGACATCACTAGCTTTGAGCTCCTCCTGTGTTTGTCTGATGCTGTTTGACAGAGTTTCCATCTCTTCAGACAGAGCAGCGACGTTCTGCTCCATCAGGCTGATCTTCTGCTGCACCTCAGTCCTCACAGCCTGGACCCGCTCCTGCTCTTCCTTCTGCAGAAAGTCTCTCATTTTGTTAATTTCTTTCTGGATCAGCTTCTCTGTGCGGTCGCCCTCCTGTTTGATGTACTCACCGGTCTGATACCAGTGCTGGATCACATCACTAGTTTCCTGCAGTCTGTCCTGTAGGGGCAGCAGACTCTTCTGCAGCTGCTCCCTGTAGTCCTGTGCCATTTCATTGATGGGCCTGAACTTGTGCTCGTGATGTGCTCTGGAATCTCGACAGACCAGACACACGGGCTGTTGGTGATCCAAGCAGAAGAGCTGTAGTTTCTCTTTGTGATGTGGGCAGATGGCCTCGGCCTGAGAGGGCTGCTTCAGGCTCAGCTGCTGAGCGAAGGCGTCACACAGGTTCTTAAGGATCAGATTACATGGAGGATCTCTCACGAAGGAGCACCTCTTACAGACTGGACACTGCCGAGTACCATCCTCTCCCCAACAGTTCTGCAAACAGGCCTTACAGAAGCTGTGGCTGCACGGTAGCAGCACAGGGTCCTTGTAGACCTCCAAGCACACTGGGCAGCTGAAGTCCATGTCTGTGAATGAAGCCATCTCTGTTCAAGCACAACAGAAGGACAAAGTCATGACCATGAAATATGCCCCAACACTGAGCTAATTTAGGAGTAAACTCAACACACACACATACACACAATCACACACACATTGTTTCAAACGTTCTAGTGAATTGTAATGTCTAAGGCTGTATTCACCTTCATACGTCTTTGTACAACTGCACCGACCCTGTTTCCTGTTTGTTGGTATTGACACAGGGAAAGTGAAAGCCATGAGCTTTTTTACAACACATACACAAAGACAAGACACTACGAAGGTGAATTCAACACAAGCATATTATTCAAATTCATACATGAAACGTGGTATGTAATAAGACTAGAGAAATATTCAATGTGTCCTCATGTAAACCATAAACCTTTCAAATGTATGTTGTAAGGTTATGTATGCACAATGTTGTATTTAGTTTTATGAATGAACTTACTGCGTACTTCTGTTTTGTCCACTCCTAGAGTTTGATTCTGTCGCTTTCTTTGCTGGTTCCTTGTTGTGTGACAGAATGAGGGTGGAGCATCAGGTTTGGGTTAGAGCACCAACCCTAACCCAAACCTGACTGCATTGGCTGAATGTGCTCTGACAGAGAAGGAATGTCAACAGAGTTAATCAGAGGTAATATTCACCTCGACTAGTGTAAAATGAGCATACACTTCCCAACCATTCAATAAATATCTATCCATGCATCTTCCCTTTTTTCGTTTCTGGGTTGCAGGGACGGGAAGGGGCGACAGTGGCTCAGTTGGTAGAGCATTGACCTTTGAGCCTGAAGGTCGTGGGTTCGAGCCCACCGTAAGACCTACTTCATGACTCCCACTGATGACTGCTGTCGTTGTGTCCTTGGGCAAGACACTTAACCCAACTTCGCCTGAAGCTCCCACTGAAAGATCTCAGCTCCTGTGGACTCACCACCTGCAGGAGGATCAGTGAGGGGCTGGTGCTATGTGTACTGGGTGGCATCTCTGGCCACCCCCCTGACCCAGAAATGGATTAAGGGGAAGAAAATGGATGGATGGGTTGCAGGGACTTCCTACTCCACACTTTCTCCAACTCATCCCAGTGGAGATTTGATGGAGTTCCCAGACCAGCAAAGAGACAGTCCGCCGGCGTGTCCTAGATCTTCTGCAGGGTCGTGATGGAAAGTGATCTTCTCATGCCCTCTCCAGAGAACATCACATTGATTTGTATTGGGGATTTCAAGTGAGAAAAGTCCAACATATGTGTAGGCAACACACTATACTACGATAAACGGTGACCCGGTGGCTGAGTGGGTCTCTCAGCCTCTCAGCAAGGAGGTCCTGGATTAGAATCCCAGTCGGAACAGGGTCTTTATAAGTGGAGTTTGCATGTTTTCCCCGTGCCTGCGTAGTTTTCCTTCGGGTACTCCGGTTTCCCCTACCACTAAAAACATGCTCACTAGGTTAAATCCTCCAGTTCCTGTAGTCCTGACCAAGCCGAGCATCAACATCTGGAGATGGGTTCCCGGGCACTGTGCTACGGCGACCACTGCTCCTGACGTAAGCCTTTGTGGCATCAGGATGGGTCAAATGCAGAGGATGAATTGCCCTACGGGGATTAAAAAAGTGCACCTTTACCTCTATAAACTAATGTAATCTGCTCGTGAGTAAGGGGTTTGGTTTGCGCTTGATTTGTAAATCCAAATTTAATCTCTTTTTTAACACCTATATATTGTGTCTTAATATAGTCTAACATTTTTAAGGCATATTACATTCAATAGTAAGGTTCTTGTTTGAAAACAAAGCCACTGGACACCATTTTGACTCTTGATGATCAAACCACTCTGGTATGTTTAATCTTGGTCGTCAATATGCTTCCCACTCCTATTTGTACTTTATGGAGTAAAAAAGTCCATTAATTATGTTCTGACAATAGCTATAATCCTATAAAAACAAGTTATATGTATTTCCTTAACACTTCCTTGTCTCGTTCTGCTGTTCACATAAACACACTAGGAAGCAGGAATGTGTGCCATGCCATCAGCTCTGGAGATCAATAACTGATAGAGCTGTGTCCAAATCTCTTCCTCAACTGCAGGAGGCGCTCTAGCAAAATTAATAATACATATATTAGCTGCTTTGCTTTATAGCCCGCAAAGTTTAAATAATTTGAAAAGAAGTAATGGTTTATAGTCCAGCAACTAGCGTAATCATCATAAAAAGACAGGTACCAAATGTAACTTCAAGAGCAAAATCAAAAGAGGTAACACTACATAACCGAGAAAATATTAAATTATTTCAATGTTGATTTGACCTCTTCTTGAAAGACATAAATAGCTGTTGTTGGGGATCTTGGCTCACTGTACATGAGTCATACATGCTCTGTGTACATTAAATATACAGAGATATGTAACCGGAGTCGTACCCTCACCCTTTCTTACCCCCATAACCCAGTTTCACAGAGGGAAGATTTTATCTCCAGCCCTGAGCCAGCAGACATTCCAGACCGTGCTGAGCCATGCAGACGGCAGTGAGGCCGTCAGAATGACATGGTATTATACATATGTTTTCACACGTTTATTTGTTTTCGCTGTGGAAAAAAAGGAGCATATTGGCATCAAAGGAAAAATATAGTTCATATTAAATGTGAAATTCATTAACAGTTATCTTGAGCACAAAAATGTAATGAAAATAAGCTAAAGCAATGTGTCTTAGTTGCTAACTTTATCACATATCCAATGAAATGCTGTCCGAACGTACTCAATCCCTCATTCACAACCAGTGAATCCCGAGGCCCAGAGTGAACCCTCCGGCGAACCATCACCTTTTAGGCAGACGTCGTAAAAAACACATTCACAATCTTAAAAAGTGCTGAACAGAAATATGAATATGACAACAACAACAATATCAAAACAACAGTGATTAGAAACTGGAAAACCAATTCAAAATATTGCATAATTCTTGTCCTAGTAGTGGTTCATTTGATGTCATTTCTTCCAGACATGTAAACGTCAATTATACTGGTTGTTTGGTTATACCTGAAAACTCAACATTTAATGCCATGTCACAACAACATACTGTACATGTCTAATTCTACAAAACACATGAAATACATTGTCGACTCCTGTAATTTATGGATGAACTTCTTTATGGATCCAAAGTTAATCCATTTCTGTAATTCAACCTGAAATATGAAACCAACATAGACTTATTCCACACATAGAATCTTAAGTCCTGTTTCTACCAGCCCTACTTGTCCTTCCAGTTACTCCGTTTTGGTAACTGGTACCGTGTTCAAGCAACCACAACATACCATCTGGGCATTGGAACAGGGCCAAGCAGGCACTATAAAAGTAACTGCACCGGATAAACAGAGTAGAGTAGATTAGAAATTAGAATAAATAGAATAAAATTAAGTATAGCAGTGCATTGTAGAGTAGAGTAGAGTAGGGTAGGGTAGTGTCGAGTACAGTACAGTAGTGTAGTGTAGTGTAGAGTAGAGTAGAGTAGTGTAGTGAAGAGTACAGTATAGTAGTAGAGTAGAGTAGAGTAGAGTAGAGTAGAGTAGAGTAGTGAAGAGTACAGTATAGTAGTAGAGTAGAGTAGCGTAGGGTAGTGTAGTGTGGAGAACAGTAGTGTAGAGTACAGTAGAGTAGAGTACAGTAGTGTAGTGTAGAGTAGTGTAGAGTAGTTTAGTGTAGAGTAGAGTAGAGTAGAGCAGAGAAGAGTAGTACTACTCTATACGCTACACTATATGATTATGGCTTACAGTCCTTAATATAAAATATGTGTCAAATGTGTAATGAATCGATCATACAGTATATGCGTTTCCCAGTATACATTGAATTACAGAAGTATTAATGCACTTTTGAATGACACTTTACAGACACTTTCGGGAGAAAGGCCGGATTGGGCCAGAACTCGACCAATCCGTCTCCAGCTCCAAACGACAGACAGGCCCGGGTGGATGGAGAGTGCGCATAAATCACCCGCCCTCTTGGTTGAAGCCAAAGCCAGAAAGAGGGCAGTCTTAAAAGCCACACATTCCGGGCTGGCCTTAGCCACCGGTTCGAAAGGAGGCCCTTCTAGGCCCCTCAGAACCATCTTCAGGTCCCAGACCGGAGGCGTCCCGAAGGAAACGTTTAACCAGAGGGTGTGAGCGACTGAAAACCCCCCGTGACCCGAGGCAATGGCTGCTGCAAACACCGCCAGGGTGCCGGCAGCCCTACCCTTCTCGAACAGCTCTTGTAGAAACCCACGCTACAAATACCATAAAATCACAATGTGATTACCGTAATTTAACATCAACTTGTTGTATTTTTGGAATGCTGGGAAATTTTTGCTAGCAAGCAACCATGAGTATAAGAGGCATGGGTAAGAGGTGTAAACTCCTGCTTTTGTTTAAATGATGCTATTACGTTAAACATGTTGTAGAAGTAAAGATTTTAACTATTTTCTTGTTTAAACTGAAGATGTTCAATGAAACTAATTAGAATACAGAAACAGTCATATGGTGTAATAATACAAAATTAAGATTATAATTCTGTTTTTGTTGTATATGACTTAACAGGAACATACAGTTAAATCCTGAAATCACAAAGGCATAATGTGATTCATTGAAACAGTCTTTAACCGTTAAAATTTGCAACGGTAATGCCATGTTGAGAAAACGGTAAATCCCTGCTCATATTTGCCAGCTTTTCATCGTTTTTCTACAAGGAAATTCTTTACAGTGAATGATGCTACTCAACTAAACACATACAAGGGATCATATGAATGTCTTTTTATCCGACCCCTTTTTGAACCGAGCACATCCATCAGTAATGATGAAATGTGTTGTTGATGTATGTGCAGCATTGGTGTAAACATGTCAGTTTAGTCATAGTAGACTAGGGTGTGACACAGTCCTAACACTTCATGTGTCTAAGTGTGCTTTACAGTAAGTAGGATTTGGAAGAACCCATAAAGTAAGTCTCTGTATCTCTCCTGCTGGGACATCACATCCAGTCTAGTGTTAAGGAGAATATAAAT